CATAGCCTTCTCGGCTTGGTGCCTTCTTTGATAATTACTTACTTGTTAGAAATTCAAATATACTTATTTGCTGCTACTGAGGAATTTTATTGCTTTCATTTTTATTTTTATTTATTTTGATGTACAATCCATGTTATGTGTCGTGGCTGAACAGTTCACACAACATGTTACGTGTTAAAGATGAACAGTTAGTTCACATACCATAGAATGCCTTAATAAAAACAAAGAAATCCTTATAATTATTTGTTTTGTTTTCCGTTTATCATGAGAGCGACGGAGAAGGCTACATTATCCAAATTAATGTGAAGCCTTTATTAATCTAATTTTCTGCTATATATATATATATATATATATATATATATATATATATATATATATATATATATATATATATATATATATATATATATATATATATATACATACATACATACATACATACATACATACATACTTACATATACCCTATAAAAACAATCAAAAAGAGTATCTGTGTTGACATCTTTCACCTACTCTACCTACTAACTACAATTGTTTGAGAAGTTTCAACTATATATCTGTGATTTTATATTATAATATTTAGGTAATGTACATATTTACTCAGCTACCTTACACTATATAAAAGTTGCAGTGTGTGTGTGTTAAGAGTTGCTATTAAATGCTAAGAAATCCCCCATTTCATAGAATAGTTAATTATGAAGGGCTCTTGAATAGTAGCCTGCGCTTGTAGTTGCAGGGAGAGGATATTCACTAGAACACGATAGTTAATAAAGTAATTGCAAACTCTAAGTACGTCATACCGACAGGTCTGAAGGGCCTAACGAATGAAAACTCAATAATGTAGTGTGCAAGATCATGACTAACTAATTGCTTACAGATTTGGGATTTAAGGTTCATGCTCTATGATATGAAACATTGGTTTATTGAGAATTATACAAAATATACGGAATGTAGTATTTCCCTTGTAAATTGATGTATATTATTTAATAAAGAGAAAAAAGTATTTGGAGATTGGTCCCTTGTAGCAAAGTGCCACAGGTAATGGTAACCCATACCCCCCACCCGTTTGATCCTTGATGGCTGCAACCCATCCTCCTGAAATGATAGTATTTATAGTAACTATATGGTCGAAAGTACCATTATCTAGTGATGGGCCACCAATAAACTACTTTTTGCACTATTCATTTTATAGAGTCCAGAAAAATAAAGCTCTAAACTAAGCTTAAACATTCCTAGGCCCTAGGACTAGTTTTAGCACACATATGTACTATATTAGACCGAATATAGTACATATGTGTACTATATTAGGTCTTTGGCCTTAGGTCTTAGGCCTATGATTACTAGGAGAGGTAAGGTTAGGTCTTATATTTATGTTACCATTAAAAAAAATTCTGGTTTGTCCTGATTCAGTAATACAAAATTTAACTTTCATGTGGTCCATCTCTACATATTGATACTTTCGACCAAATAGTTACTATAAGGACTGTCATTTTAGAAGGATGGGCTGGATCCAGTTTTTTTTTCACACGCTGTATTCCCCCTTCATATAGTCTAGGGTAGCTGTTGTACCTAAATGTGTTAATAAAAACTTGTTTAGATTTAGCTACTCAACGAAAACGAAATGTCCATGTAGGATGGGCTATAGTAAGCCCGTTATCTGGTAGACGTTTTGTGCTGCTCATATACAAAGGTTTCAGAAGAATTCTTCCCACTGTGTTATTCGACACTGGATTAGTTAGCAAATGTTTGACATTTGATTCACCGAGCTTCATTTCTGCTTTAGCCGTATCAGCCGGCTAAATGCTATCAGTTACTATTAAGTTTTAGTCTAAGTGGGGTTTTTTCCCCCACCTCACCTTGCCCGAAACGCTATGCGTACTAGTGGCTTTAGGTATTGTATGTACTACCTCTATCTATAAATCAATCAGAATGTTTGTAACTCTGCATCTATGTATGTACTTTTCCTAAATAAAATATTATTATTATTATTATTATTATTATAGTTAAAGCTTTCAATGTGCTTTAATATACCTACTAATATCTCTCAAATTTTTCTCACAATGTACCTGTTAACATTTTATAAATTTTGTTAGAATTTATCTACTTAATATTATCTGTTAGATTAAGGACCTGCCCAAAACGCTGTGCGTTCTAGTGACTTTACAAGAATATAAACACATGATGCTATGTACTCTCACAAACCCAATGTACCTTCTTGTATATAAATAAACAAACAAATAAATAAGTACTTACACATTAACACAAGATAAAAGAATTGGGTTTGATTTAAATTAAGAAAGTTTAGATGCAGGAAAGACCTAGGCAAATATCGGTTTGAAAATACGGTAGTTTATTTACGGAACAAATTACTGGGTAATAATAACCATGGGATTGTTAGATTGTTTCAAGCGTAGGTTGGCCATATATGAACGAGTTCGTGCGGATATAATTAGGAGGAAATAGGTGGAATCGCAAATATCAACATTTTCCGTAGAAATATCAAATTGATTTTTTTTTCATATTAGAATAGTGAACAAATAGAATTTACTAAAAAGCGAAGCGGTAGAGGTAAATTGAGTTCGTCCTCAGGGCAAATCCATTACCACAAGACACCAAACCCCTCCTCAAACCACCTAGATAAGTATTTAGATATTTGTGATGGTCTGAAAGCATATTACGGTGCCCGTAATAGTCTACCCCCTACCGAAGGACAATTATAAGAGAGTACAATTAGGCGAGTACATTTAGTTAAGTACACAGATTCACCCCTGCCATTCGAAGAGATAAAGATGAACAATTAATGCTTCTCAGCACTAAGTGACAGGTTTAGGAATGTACTTGATGAGTATGAACAGGTGCGATTGCCACGCATCCCCCCAAAATAGGTGCATATACCCAGTGATAGAGACAGGTGTGCAGGTGGCAGCCTTGGCCCAGATGTGGCGCCAACCGTGTGCAGCCAGCACTGGTACAACTCTGACACGTGCTCCTACCGTATTGTACAGTGTGCAGTGAAATTTGTTTTTCAGTGATATATCTATATATATCTATTTAAATTATATGTCTATTTCTATATGTGAAGTACCTTTGTGTGTTTAATAACAGACGATCATCACATATACCCTCATTCACACGTGAGCAGCTATTAGGAATGGTTTAGGGCAACTCGTCCAGTGAGCGATGGTGGAAAGGTTAGAGGCAAATTATGGGCTTAGAAACTGAACCACAATATTGGTTTAGCTAAGTAAGTTACAGCATTAATGAACTATTTATAGAGCTGCTTTACATATACATCGACAGCCTATTCACAGTTCCGATTAGTTCAATTTAATTAACAAGTTATGGAATTACATAATGATGCATAAACAGGATCACAATGTTATATATTGAAAGCAATTTACATTTTTGGTGAACGAGTTTGTTTTAATTTACCTCAAATTGGTGATAAACTTTCAGAGGTAGTGGTCTGATTACATTACTGTAGTTAATGTTATGGTGCATGGTAGGAAATGTAGATGTTTATCTCTCAGAATGTTTGGTAATATGTTTATTGTTTGTGATGTGTGTATATGTATGTATTAACACGATGTACTGAACGGGGTGAGAATAGCTTGAGCTACCTCATCCCTTTGTGTATATTTTACCTCAATAAACTTATTTCAATTTCAATTTCAATGGTACATGGTCATGAAATATACGAGAATAACAGACTTGCAAGCAGTGCAAACTTACAGTGTGTCTACAATGGACAAACTTGTGATATTCGGCAAGGATTTTGAGTAATTGTCAGCCCGGATAAAATACATAAACATTTATTAAACATTAGATATAACGTTGTCTTTTGAATTAGGATTTTTTTAAAAAGATATTGTTGGTAATCTGTGTTTTCCTTCAACAACACCTATCGAAGTCATTGGGCTTCTTCTCTTGCTAAGACATTACTGTTAGTCTTAATTGTTTGTAGTACACTTTCAGAGTGGCACATTCTGAACACATGTGAACTCTCCATATATTGTTGTTTTAGATTCAGCTACTCGGAACAAAAAGTGGCAAGTAACACGGGGTATGGCTCTCCATCTCTTTTTCCCCACACTCCCTCTGGCCCATTCTCCCACGGACACCTCTCCCACCAGAACCCCACCAACGACCCACTCCCAGTCAGTCACCTAACCCCCCTCAGCACGACTACCTTAACGTCAGTAAACGTGTGTTGTGAAGTCCTGGCGCGTGGCCGGGATGCGATGTTTACCCATTAGCCGACCGCTATACACCACCCCACACCTCCAACTCTTCATTTTTGTTCCACAAAATGTGACTAACATTTGTTCCCAATATTTTTTAGCATAGTAATTTAGCCTTTCTAAAGGCCTCTTATTGTTGACGTTTGCTTTCGCTACACAAACAAATGTTTTTCCATTCCTTTATTGTATCGTTTTTTTATTGTTTTTGTGTTGGTCTTAGTTGTTTTTTAATTGCATGTTAACTCGCGATGAAACACGGTTTTCAGCTATAATATTTTCACCCAGAACTTACATTCCCTTGAATTTGATATAAAGTATAAATCTTTATCATTAATATACGAAATAACTTGACCCTGTATTAGCATTCCATGGCTAGACAACTTCAAACATGGCTTCCGGTGTTTAAGACGTCGTTCTTCACATACAACAACGTCTTAAATTTACGACACATTCCTCTCGCCCTCTCACACATTCCTCCCGCACTCCCTCATACTTCGCGCCTTCTCATATACCTCCCGCCCTTTCACATACCTCCCGCCCTCTAAAACATACCTCCCGCCCTTTCACATACCTCCCGCCCTCTAAAACATACCTCCCGCCCTCTCACAAATACCTGTCGTCCTATCACACCTTTTGAACTGCCTGTATCCATGCTTGTCAAGAGCTGCTCCTTCATTTTGTCCCCGCTGAATTTATGTTGTGTTGCTCCCGCCCGATACTGTTCTCCAGTGACCTCCAGACTAACACTATTATCTTCAGTTGCAGGTCGGCGGGGGAGACCGAAAGACCAATGAGCCTGATTACGAGGAAGTCGGCCCTCCCACGCACCTCAGGAAAGTTCCAGGTACTGTTTCCCCTTGCATCTAAGGAAAGTCCTAGGTCTCCTTCCTCCACCTACCTCGGGAAAGTCCCAGGTACTGTCTCCCACCCACCGCAGGAAAGTCCCAGGTACTGTTCCCTCGCCCACCTCAGGAAAGTTGCAAATACTGTCCCCTCATCCACCTCAGAAAAGTTCCAGGTACTGTCCCCAACCACCATTTGAAAGTCCCAGGTAATCCCCCCCTCCATCTACCTCAGGAAAGTACCAGTTACTTTCCATGCTTCTAAGTAAAGTCCTAGGTACTGACCCCCACCCCACAGGAAAGTCCCCAGGTCGCCACGCCCCCAAGTAAAATCCCAGGTACTGTGCTACACCCACCTTAGGAAAGTCCCAAATTCTTTCCTCCGCACACCTCAGCAAAGTCCCAGGCACTCAGTAGGAAAGCCACAGGCTTAGGCTTGTGATTGAAGTTAAGGAGTTGGAAAAATTAACGGAATTGTATAATTCTATGTATGGTGTCTCAGAACTCACCCTAAGGGCGTTGCATCACGTTCTCCCGAGCTGCGTAATACTCAGGAGAGTTAGAGCCACATTGCGGGCAGGAAAGTTAAATCAACATCGTAGGCAGGAGAGTTAGAGGAGCCACATAGTAACAACGAGAGTGCAGCCATTCCTGTGGCACATGCTTCATTATTTCGTAATGAAGGTCTTAACCAACTAGTTTCATAAGGCCAAGCAGTCAACCATTGTTTCTTTAAAGTTCTGCTTATTTTTGACACTTTGAAGCATACGCGCGTAAAAGCAAGAAGTGATTGGGTTTTCCATATCAGTCTCTTTCCCACTTTTGCTGTGAGGTATCACGTGAACAGATAAAATAATTAAGTTTGCAAGCAGGAAAGGGACAGTGGAACAATGATAATACAAGCCTCATGCAGTCATATTATATATATAGATTATTCACAAGGAAATCACACTAACATGATATATCATCGAGAAAATCAATTGGAGCAATGCGGAGATTCGAACCCTCGACCTAGGGCCACCCAAGCCACGCATCTTACCTGTTGACCACAAAATAGTGTAAGTTATGGTTCAGAGGTAAGGTGCGCGGCTTGGGAGTACTGTATTAAGGTTGAGGGTTCAAATCCCGCATAGTTTCAATTGATTTTCTTATATAATTCATATATAAATGATTATATAGAATTAGTGTGCCACAGATTGTTATTATTAACATCTCTGTTGACAAAATTAATTACAATTTAGCCAAATCTGAAGATTTCAATTAAGTCTTATTAAAGTGAGGATAATGCTGGTATTCACTGTCACACAGGACAGAGGGTCATAGACAAGACAATAGGTCTAAACTAGCACATATATATCATGGTTACAATCAATGTTTTAATGTATGAATATGTAAAAACAACTTTCTATTGTGCACTGCCACACAAGAGCACGGATGGGTTCATAAGTGATGCAGCTTAGAAGTAATATAAATAAAAGTATACCTTACTTTAAACCACACGTGCTGAGAGTGATGAGTGTTGCAGGGCTGGTCACTACACCCTGGCACTAGTCTTAACCTGAAATCAATTGTACGATACGGTGAATGGAGCTCCAAGCATTGAATTTGGGCTGATCTTTAATAGCCTATTTTGCCTACGAAATGAAACTTCTGTCTATTTTAATGTTACACATTACAGTAAAGTCACTTGACCCCTTTTATAAGTGGTTATTTCATCGACGAATCGACGAATAACGTTTCTGAAGAAATTACTTTCACGAACAGACGTGGGTGACATAACTGGCTGCCACAGTAATGGAAGCTAGATGTCTCTTACTTCTGCTGAGGAATTTGTAACGCCGTCAGCGCACGGTACACCATAAAAAAATCAACCATGCTAGATATACAGCTTTCGTGAAGATTTCTTATTGCGTGTAACCAACACTCAGCTACCTTGTTTCAACTTTTAAGCTTTTAAGTCGTCAAAGTCAACGGCATTTCTGATCATAGCAAACGTTAACGGCAGGTTGAACAAACTTCCCAGGGAGGCTTAAACTTAGGGCATCGGGGATAAAATTATATAGTAAAGGAATGATGTCGTTGGCTGCTGGCCTTGAACTATATCGAGAGCACCTGAATTACGTAAAACAAAAACCCCAGACGACGGGAGACACCCACCGCCCCTCGTAACTTACCATACAACGTGTGTGGGGGCAGGGAGCCTGACACAGGTTTCCCTCAACCTATAAAAACCCGACTCGGTCTACGAGAAGTCGCTCTATGGTACACAGACTGCCTCCCCTCCCTCTCTCGAGTTATCTTTTTATACACACCCATTCAATCCTTTCACTCATTCATTCGTTGGTGATCAAGTGTATTCAGTCAGACCCACACTCGGTTTATAATGTTACATTGGTTTGTATTGATCTGTTTCAGTATATTCACAATTTCTGGCTTGGATAACTATTGGTTTCTTGTCATTCTCGATTCCCGTATCTATTTCTGTCTTTTTATATTGTCACACCCTCCCCTTCGTCCCTACTACCATCGCTCTTTCATTCCATTGCTCCCTCTCCCCCTCCCTTCCCTTCCATTCCTGTTTGTAGAACAGAGGTTCTACAAAATTAGAATTACACGTCCAACTTTCCTTTTACAAGAATGGCGATATTATCGTACTCGCCTTATATTAAAACCTGGCTTGAGTTATGATGAAGATGTTTTTATAAATGAATGTTGTCTCTTTTAGGTCTTATGTTGTGCACTGGGACCTCGATTGTTTGCTAGCATCTCTGTTGCTTATTGTGACCTCTGTTTGCTATATATATATATTGTTGTTTATGTGAGGCCTGTGTTGTTTACAATATACATAAATCTATAAATATTACACATGAAAAATGAATTACAATGTGGACTCAAAAACGATGCCAGACTACTTAACTTAGACTTATAGAATGGGTGAACGATTGCCAGCTACAATGAAATTACCAAACCTGAATGCGATAAAGATTTTAGAGTAATAATTAGTATGGATCTTAGTTAAATGTTCGTAATGAGATAAATAGTTTCTCTTATGTTCTATGATTTCTCTCTCTCTCTCTCTCTCTCTCCCACTTTATTACGAGAGAGCTTTACAAATTTATATACACAATCTCTCAATTTCCGATTTTATCGATTTCTCTGTTTTTCTTTTTATTTGTTTAAACAATTTCTCTGTTTTTCTCTTTATTTAAAAAAAAATTCTCTCTTTATTTTTTAAACTATTTCTCTCTTTTAACTTTAGATTTTTCTACTTATCTTTTAATTTTAGATTTTTCTACTTGTTTTTTAATTTTAGATTTTTCTATTTGTTTTTATATTGACTTTTCTGTAATTAAATTTACCGATTTTATTTGCTAATTTTATTTCTAGCTTACTCTTTTTTTTATTTATATTTCTGTCTGAATATTGATTTATCTTTTGTTTTATCTATTTATCTTTTCATTTTGTAATATTTTGTTTTCTTTTTATTTGTTGTTTTTCTATTTATCTTTCTCCATCTGTACGTTGGTGTGTGTGTGTGTGTGGAGGTGGAGAGGTGGTGTGGAGCGAGCGGTGTGACTGGCAGGGAACCAAGGTGAGAGTTGGCCAACTATGCCTTCAAGGTGCTTGCTCTACCTCCCACCAGTGCCACGCTGCCCTTGCTGCTTCGTCCCCTTTGTTTACACCTGGCCTTTAGTGCAGGGCATTTGTTTACACTTGCCCCCGCCCCCCCTTGCTGAAGGTGATTGCTTATAGGTAGCCTTTATTTAATACACGCGTTTGTTTACCTGTGACCCTTGGTGAAGGTGCTTGTTTACAGGTGGCCCTTAGTGCAGGCGGTTGTTTATACATGACTTTTTGTGCATTTTTTGGGGTTACAGGTTGTCTTTGATGCAGGCATTTGTTTACATGGTTCTTAGTACAGGTGTTTCCCTGTTGTTGGCCCCTATGTACAGGTGTTTGCTTGCTGTTGGCCCTATGTACAGGTGTTTCCTTGCTGTTGGCCCTTTGTTCAGGTGTTTCCTTGCTGGTTGGCCCCTATGTACAGGTGTTTCCTTGCTGTTGGCCTAATGGACAGGTGTTTCCTTGCTGTTGGCCCTATGTACAGGTGTTTCCTTGCTGTTGGCCCTATGTACAGGTGTTTCCTTGCTGTTGGCCCTATGGACAGGTGTTTCCTTGCTGTTGGCCCTCTGTACAGGTGATTTTTTTACTTTGTGAGGAGGGAGGGAACTATCAAGGGAAAGCGCCATTAAAACTATACATCGTGAGGAATGGAGCTGCATAATTTATTCACTTTGTGTCTTAATGGAATGGATGTCCTGTCTGTTTTACTTTATGAAGTTCTTACTCTTTTGTATAATATATATAAGAGATGAATTCCTTCTGGGAATAATGCTATATGCGCTGTTCACCAGTCCCAATTAATGTACTCTTAAGCATTTTGTTTATAAGTGTTCCCGTTATGTGAGGGTTATATGCTAATCAGTGCTGGCTTTTATCTATCATTTCACCTTTATATGTGGCTTTACGTACAGGGTGAAAATGACCTGAGTTGCATGACGTTCATGTGTACGATTTACGAGCCTCATACTTCCTGCTACTTCTGGGAGGATAAGTTGTGTTGCTTGAACATATCATGGGATACGTTTGCCGAAAGGTGTACCCTGGTTCTCGATCATATATACACTGGGTTTGCTTTAGTCCCCAACCTGTGGTCAGTAAACTCTTGTGGTGGCTTTAGTAACACTTCCGCAGTTGATAGGCCATAAGCCCAGCATCACGTTATTGTGTCTTTTGACACGCCACTCTATGATGCATGTTTATAATGTTTTATATATCCGGTCTCGCTATACCGTACCCCGGTATTGTGACTATTCCCTTACACTTGATACAGAACGTCTTGGTTTTTGTCTCACGCAGCTTCGGCTATTTATGTGGGCCCATAGGAGTTGCTTCATAGGTCAATAGGCTTTCTGCAGTTGCCTTTATTTCAATGTAATCTTCCGTTTCCCTAAATAATTTGCGAATGTAAATAATATAATTGTTTTTATCATGCCATAACTTTATTTTTTATCACGGTATGAAGTAAATTGTATATTGTTGTTAATATGTTTGGAGAGACATTACTCCTGTCTCGTAACATTATCATCGGCTTGGGATTTTATTCAGAAAATTTGCCAGGCAATGACGGCTTCCACGATCAGAACGCGGGAATCGCTGGTCTCGGTGGGTTAAACGTGCTTTGCCCAATCAGAATATAAGATAAATGATGCCAATAGCGTACCACTAAGTTTTGAAAGCTCCCTCCCCACCCTTCGGAAGGGGATGGTGTCTCCTCTCTGATGCACCATCGGTATGGGGATGGGTCCCAGCGCGAACCAAAGTAGCTGATATAGTGAAATAGGGGCTCACCATAGCCCGTGCTGCTTGGAACTTTTTGTTCCAGGTAGTGACGCGAGGAGCCGCGAGAGTGGTGGAGGAAACAAGAGGCGAGATCGAGGACATACGGTTGACCTCGGTGGTAGATAAGAGGAAACGTTTTGGTAATGTGGGCTCACCTTATCAAATTTTACGGGCTCGCTATAGCCCGTGCTACATGAATATTTCGTTCTGAGTAGCTAAATCTAAAACAGAAACAACATGGCGTAGGGGAGCCGGGAATATCTTACTCTGTCGTCCGAGTGCCTTTAAAATTACTTTTGTTTTATGATTAGTTATATTTATTTCATCTTTCATTTTGCATTACTCATTATAGAATTCGTTTATTTTTTTAAATCCTTGGCACTATAGTGCTCGTTCATATGTATAATGTTTTATGTTCAATTTGAATAGAGTACGTTTTACTGCGAGTGCGAGGCTTCTTCATTGTATATATTGCTTTTATGAGGCTTCTTGTGTCAGAATATTATTGTGTGTGTGAGGGGGTTTTTCAGTGTATATTGCAATCCATCCTCCATATATGATCAAAAGTATGATTACTATGGAGTGAATGTACAAAATATCGGTTTATGTCCCCCTCCTAATAAAAGTTAGCTTTGTAATATTGTAATTCTAAAGTTCATAACAAAAAAGTTAAATAGACTTACCTGTCCGAGGCATAAATAAGCACTCATCGGACTAATATACACATTCCTCGCCCTAATTTAGTACATATGTAATATAGGAAAAGTTAGGGTAAGATCGGAATTTTCTGCAACAGTCCATATTTTGTAAAACCGTCCTTAGATGCTATAGGCACTATCATTTTTGTTTTATAAGTTAGTATTATAGTGAGTGAACCATTTTCAGTGTATATTATTACTGTTAATGAGCTTTCTTCAGTCCCCATTTTTTTCATCACATGCACATTGTACTTAAAATATTATGCTCGAGTGCTATTTTTGAGCGTAATTGAGGGTGATTACACATATTTGAAATAATAAATTGATTCTTTTTATAAGGAAATTTGAACCATAATGGATAACGGAGATTTTTCACATTTTACCCAAATTGACATGCAGTTTCCAAAATACGATGGGATTGTAAACAATCTTAGAATGGAGTACGGCCTGCAGTAGACTGTTAGTTTCAAATTATTCCATCACCCCTCCTCCCCAAAAATGTATAGCATTAATAGTGTATATTATGTTAAATAATATATTGTAGTAATTAAAATATGTGTTCGCTAAGTTATCTGAGTATTGTCACTTGCGGTTAAGTTAGGTGTGCTACAAAGTAATTAACTTTGTTGAAGATTTTAATGTTATTTGTATTGCAAAGGCAGATCAATGTGTGCATGACGGAGGGATTATATATTTCAGTACCGGATATAATGTAATAAATGTTGCAGATCACTTACCAATGCACCGGATATAATGTAATGAATGTTGCAGATGCTCCCAAGGATGGCCAGAACTGTGACCTGTGCGGGTCGGCACCTGCTGCAGTGCGGTGTGACCGCTGCGGCTCCCAGGCCTTCTGCCTCTCCTGCGACGACATGTACCACCGTCACCCTCGCCGCAGTACCCACGCCAGAAAGGTCAGTAAGCACTACAGGGCGTGAAGTGGTCGGGAAAAAGGTTTATTCGACAGGAAATTCAGTCTGCACTGAATTTCCTGGCCCACGTGAACGTGCATTCACGTGGGCCAGGAAAGTCAGTCAACACCACTTGGCAGCAGGGGTATGAGCTAGGAGAGCCAGTCAACACCACGAGGAAGCTGGAGTATGTGCCAGAAAGGTCAGTCAAAATGCAACGTGGGGCAACAAAGGGAATGGCATGTGGACCATGATGGTTAGCAATCTACTTAGCATCAAGCTGGGAGGTGAGTCTTACTGAGACGCAGTACACATGTGATATTCTGCAGTAATTCGTGATACCTTTTCCTGATCAAAACCAGATCGTAATCCTTGCTGACATTTGTTTAGGATTTGAGAGCATACTATAACAATTATCCTGAACTAGATTCTCTGAACAAAATACCCGCAACGTTGTAAAAATGACGTATTTCAAAATATATACTAAAAGTATTTATTTGTTACCTCTAAACTAGGAAAAACTAACTTGATATTAGGTTGCAGCGAAAGTAAATCCTGTTTTATCGTTCGGTAGTTTGCTTGCAAGAAATGTACATGTGGGCTTACGGCGCATGCTTGCTAGGGAACCCGACTCTGACCTCCTGCTTCCTCTTGCCTATATATAGCTTTATGCACCAAGTGTGTCAGTGTGTGGGGGTCGCTATGATGAGCCTCCAACCTGCTCGCATGTTATCACCGCCTACCCAACTACACCCACGATCCATATATATACCCACTTCAATTTCCCACTCCTATCTCTGCCGCATCACACAGCCGACTACGCCCTTCTCCACTACCTTTGTTACTGGAAACAATGACAACATGCTTCTCTTCAGCTCATCTTTATCCACACCATGCTCTCAAGCGTTCACGATAACCTTCACCGCCATCTTCACCCTCTACCACCCCTCTCCACTAACCACACCACTTTCTCCACCAACCATACCACTTTCTCCACCAACCATACCACTTTCTCCACCAACCATACCACTTTCTTCACCAACCATACCACTTTCTCCACCAACCATACCACTTTCTCCACCAACCATACCACTTTCTCCACCAAACACACCACCCTCTCCACCAACTACACTACTCTTCAGCACCCACACCACCTTCTCCACCAACCACCCCATCCTCTCATCCAACCACACCACTCTTAATCATCATCATTCACAACACCCTCTTCACCGCTCACATAACGCTCTCCATTCTCCACACTATCATCTTCACCATCTACACCACCCACTCCACCCCAACACCACCGCTCATACCACTCTCCACCGCCTACACCATTCTGTTGTTTATCCCAGGTCACCTACCACTGCAATCCTCTATAACTCACTGCCATTTCACCCTCTTGCACTGGCCAGCACACGCTCTGCTGTCCACAACTACCAACATTATTCTTTATAAAGCCCGTACCACCAATAATATTACTCTACATCTCTCACCTACTAACAAATCTTCCACCCACATCTAATATATTTAAATTATCTACATGATTCAATAAAATGGTAAACAAATAATTTAAGTAGTAAATTATCTGACACTAATAAATTAATATATGTAATTCATTGTAATTTCGTTCTAGTTGAGGAATATACGAATGAGTACTGATGATAAATTTTAGGCGTGTTACTGTGATGTGTTACATCCTAGTACATTTCGCGACGAGTAACACGCTACTAATAGCCTAATATGTCTTCTATAGTGTCGTGGAGTCAGCAATACATTTTAGTAATTTGTAGCAGAAACAATAACTGGAAATGTGTACACATTAGCCTAATTGATCAAGTGAATTGTAAACGTTGCTTGCGTGTTATATTTCTAGGGCTTTTACTATTTCAGGCAGTGGACAGCCGGCCACCGGCGGGGGGAGGGATAAGGCCGCCGCTGCCCCCCAAGGGGGAGTCCCAAGGTGGAGTTCCACCCCCTCAGCCTCCTCCCAGGAAGAACAAACGTGCTGGGTTCCTCTCATCCTCGGCCTTCAGCAAGAAGGAACAGGTGAGATAATACAGAATTGTTTCTTCTTTTATCTTTCCTATTTTTAAATTTTCTGTATATTCTATAATGCCTGTTATTCGTTTTCTATTCTATCTATATTTTTTCTTATTCATTTTTTTCCTTGTCTCCATTTTTTTTATCGCCAGTTTCCATTTAATGTTTGCCCTCATCGTTCCTTGTTGTTAGCAAGTCATTATAGAATACATTTGTGTCTATTTTTCACATTCTTATTTCTATTCATATTTTTTCAGGTATGATTTTGTTCATTTTCGTCTCCTGGTTTGCCTTCTCCAACCTCATGTTCTCTTGACTTCATCCCCCACCACTTCATGTTCTCCTTTCTTTAAGTGACTTGTTCAGCACACACTTGCATGTATCCCACGAAGAGAATAGTCACGTCCAAGGAAAATGCAAATACTTATTCCTAAGATGGGTCCTCTCAGCAGGGTGTGAGTGCCGAAGGTGACGAAAGGCGTTGAGAGATTGAAGAGGGTGTTGCTAAGGGTGAAAATTCCATTAGCCTATCATTATAACTCAACCCTCAGAGATGTGGGATTAGTCGGGTGGCGTACCTTTGAACTTTCTCTTGTTTCGCGTTTGTGTTTAAACGAGGTGATGATTGCATGCTTATGCCGCGGACTGTATTCCAGAAATGTAGGTAGGTTTACCTGGTTTACCTGGGTTTTACAGAACTCAGAAAATTATTGCATAGATAATTAAATTTTTAGGCAGTCGTTATTTATAATCTTATTAATTATATCTTTATAAATAATACCTTTGTGAGCTTGTGACTACTCGTAGTAATTTTATTTGCTTTGAACTGGGTTTGATAAATTCAGTGTTTGAGAAGCTTTTAAAGGAATTTTAAGTTGTCATATTTAATTCTAAAGGTACTTTAAGTATTTATAGAATACACACACACACACGCACGTGCGCACGAACTTTCTATATTATCCATAATTATTTAGTATTGTCTATGGTTTATGAGGGAGAGAGAGAGAGAGAAGGAGGAATGATGAGGAGGCTATCTTGAGATATGGCGATGTAGGAGGATGGCAATACTTCCAACAACCAAGATGTGATTGAAATAAATACAATTTAATAAATTCAATGAATGCAACTATTGGTTTTGTTTTGTAATACGTAAATAACACGTATAGAATAAAAGTACCAATAATAATCAAGCTTTTTTTGGTTTTACTGTTTTCTGATATGAGAAAGCTATACAGAATATGAACAAAACCATATGAATGAATATGTGTGTAGTGTAGTGTGTCATACAGAATATATTCAGAACTGGCAAATCAATCAAGTTAGAGATACACGCTTTCAGTGAGCGCTGTACGTTGTTCATTTCTTAATAATGCAAAAAGTACGCTAGTATTTTCTCTAGCAAAGGCATAATTACTGGTGCCAAAGCAGAGAGAGGAAATAGATTGAAAAAAATCTATGTAACGGTAAATATAGACAATACAGTGATAGCATTTCTTGATTACAGTTATAACTTGTATCCATTGCATGTTTAACGAAATTCTTAAGTATTCCAGCATGGGGTCACCCTGCTCATTGTATTTCCACTTTTCTCACCGTGATCCAGATTAAGATTTCAACTAACTCGTATTTATTAGATGACTTCTCTTGTCTCACCACCTCTCTGTGACTCCATGGCTATTGTCTTATCTTCCTGCTGTGGCTGCGCTTCTCCTAGATGTACGCGCGGCCCGGCACTGTTACCTCCCGCTCCACCAGCATGACCAACCTTCAGGTAAACACCTTCTTGGGAATGGGGGCTTCTGCCTCCAGGTAGCTACTATAGTGGGGCAGGGGGAGGCCTCCACCTGTAGGTAAATTGCCGTTATGGAGAGGCTTTCACTCCAGGTAATTACCGTCATGGGGAGGCTTCCACCTCCAGGTAATTACCGTCATGGAGAGGCTTCCACCTTCAGGTAATTACCGTCATGGGGAGGCTTCCACCTCCAGGTAATTACCATCATGGAGAGGCTTCCACCTTCAGGTAATTACCGTCATGGGGAGGCTTCCACCTCCAGGTAATTACCGTCATGGGGAGGCTTCCACCTCCAGGTAATTACCGTCATGGAGAGGCTTCCACCTCCAGGTAATTACCGTCATAGAGAGGCTTCCACTCCAGGTAATTACCGTCATGGGGAGGCTTCCACCTCCAGATAATTACCGTCATGGGGAGGCTTCCACCTCCAGGTAATTACCGTCATGGGGAGGCTTCCACCTCTAGGTAATTAGGTGACGAGAGGTCATGGTGACCTCCACCTCCAGGTACAGCATTTATACATCTCTGCTTATTTCTTATCGTGTGGCAGTTTGTAATGAAAGTTCTCGGGTTATTAGGAAAACAAATATATTAAATAGTATCCCGCCTTAATATATGTTGATTAACAGTGGCTTGCCAGGTATAATGTTGTATCATGAAAAAGAACGTTTTCACAGTCTCAGGTATTGGTATGCTTGTTAACTTTTGAAAGTTTTGCTGTACAGTACTAGGATTTTAGAGGCTTAGATGATTGTTTTCGTTGCATTTTCTAGCAATACCTGCAGGGGCAGCAGTGATATTTTTAGCATACTGCTTTTCCGTTGTACCATGACGAGAGCTTATGGTTACTTCCTGCTACCCGTTGTACTTATGTCCAGTGATCATGGTCACACACTGTTATCCGCTGATCTGTTGTCCTTCCCTTGCACCATGCCCCAGAGCTCATGGTCACTCCCGTTATCCACTGATCTGTTGTCCTTCCGTTGTATCATAACCAAAACTCATGGTCACTCCTCAATAACCGCTGACTAGTTGTCGTTCTGTTGTACCATGACCACAACTCATGGTCAATCCCTGTTACCCGTTGACCTGTTGTATAATAGCGCACTCATCTTTTGTAGCTTTGACCTTGTGAAAATTCACGGGCGCATATACTTAGGTAACTCACCACGCTAGGTGCTTATGCAAATCAGTTGGATGTATCTTTTACCTTATTTAGGATTGGGGTGCCAAATGTTTGTATGGTTCCCAATGTGTTGTGTATATTATATGTTTTTTTTTTTTGCCTTTGATGACAAGATGCTGTGTTTTGAATTTAACTTTTTTCAGTTAAATGCCTTTATAGGATGCACGGTCAAAACTCTAAAATAAAAGGAATAAATATAGCACAATTGCTGTGATGTTACTTGCAATGATGTTTTCATGTAACATTGTAAAATAATTAAGTACATAAATAAATTTGTATATATATATGATAGTCAATTAATAGTTGTTTATGAGAACAACATTTCAAATGCAATTAAGTGAACAGTTAGAGTTTTAAATTCTAATCACATTTGGAGAGTGAGCACACATAATTTTGTCCTGGTATTGACGTCAGCGGAAGCAGGTTGGCTGGCACGACTCAATCATTTAGGAGAAAATATCGTGTGAGGAAAGGAAGACTTTCCTTTCCTCACAAGAAGAAGAAGAATAAATGTGAAGAAGGAAGAAGAAAGGAAGGCCCTCCAAAAGGGATGAAACCTTTAGGTTAGGTAGGGCGTAGTTTGTCTGGTCAGCATGTTCCGAGAAAAGTAATAACGTGTATTGTTATGTAAACATTTACAATGATTATTACTACATTTTGGGTTAGGCTTCGGTTATCTGTTTAAATCAAAACAGGTGATTTGGTGAGTGCAAGTTTCCGTCACAGCAACCATTACTGTAAACCATTCTTGTTGAAGCTGCCTTATCCACCATATGTGCATCATTGTCATCGGCTCACACGAGGCTGTTTGGGCATAGGCTGTTAAACCAGGATAAATATACACAAGAGATCAGATTGAACGTTTAGCTGGATATACTATGTTATGCTACCTGTTCAATATAACGATATATAATTACATATATCACCCTTATATAAAATTTTTGGTATTTTAATTTGACTTCCACTATTGAAATTAGTGACAGCCTTATTGTTCACAAAATCTTGAAGTACTTAATGCAGGACACCACAACTGCTCAAGATAACAGCAGTCTCAGCTCGAGATTATTCTTTGCGAGGTGCAAGATAGACTTGAGTGAACACTTTGAGTTTTAAGAGAGAGAGAGATGACGTCGTGGGAGGTTACCCTGATATTCTGGTGTTACAGAGTGCGGGTAACGAGACTAACAACAACAACAACAACAGTGGTGGACGAACTATTATGGGCAGCCTCAAGCGGTTCATGGGAGCCAGGCCGCTCCCTCCCACCCCGCTCCACAATACATGTGAGTATTACCAACCACAACATCTATGAGTATTACCAACCGTAACACCTGTGAGTACTACCAACCACACATAACAAAAGTCATCATCAGCACATCATGCATCTTTAGAGTATTAACTCTCTAATTTTTAAATTATTTAAATTTTTTTATCTGGTTTTAAATTTTGTTATTTATTTTTTATTTTTGTATATATACTGTGTAAACATTTAGAATCTGAGACACATTTGTGATGTTAATAGGATAAATAGAGAGATGTATACACACGCACAGAGTTTATATCTCAGTGTATTGGCACGGGGAGTTTACTTTAGTCATGGACAATGTTCATGACTTCTACAGGATAACAAGATTTTGGTCGATAAGCTTATGTGGTGGCCTTAATAACTCTCCCGTGGTAGATATGAATGAGAGCAGAGGGATGGAGAGAGAGTATTAAAGGTAATTTGTACATAGCAGGAGGAGAGGAAGTCCATAAGTATAGTCAGATATGGTGATTCTAGTATCTATGTGAGAAGAAATGGTAGGGAGACGCATTTGCGTCAGCAATTTCAACATTTTAACTGTTAAATCTTTGTAAGCACTTTACATACAGTCGTATGAAGAGGTGACAATTTTACTAGAGTATCATAATACCAATTCTACGCCATGCTTGTCTGTGTGGAAGATATTAATGTTTATCTGTATTTACATATTTTGTTGATATATATTTTACAGGTTCTGGGAAGAATGAAGCTATAACAGCGCTTCCCAGCAAGGCTTCGATCCGTGCCACCACCAGCCCCAGTCTTCCCAACCTCAGCGACCACATGTACGTGGCTCCAACTTGCTGTTTTGGCTTGTGTGGTGTGTCCTAGTCCATCGCTGCTTGCGTGTTGATGTGTCTGTGCACGCCTGTCTCTTGGGAAAGTCAACCAACAAAATACCTACACCAAACCTTAACTACTTCACCCCCTCAATGGCCAAATGTTAGTAGTGCCTCTTTTTTTTTATTAAGGTTGATAGTACTTCTTCTTTATTATGGTTGATGGTGCTTCTGCTTTATTACGGCTACTAACATAAAGTTTCTGTAAAATAATGTAAGGTGTTCACGTCTTACTCTTTCTGTATGATAATCAGCAGCCCCTTGGAACACTTTCTTATCTTGGTGGAGGGGATTGCGTGTTCCTAGGTCCCGTGAGCGTCTTGTTTATCTAATCTAAAGCAATGGGATTTAAGAGTGTTGCATTCTCTAGGAATAAGCATTGTGGTCCTGTTGGGTCTGAGAGCCTTTGTCTTTTGGATTGAGTTTCATACTGGGGGGTCTAGCTGAGGCAGTAAACATGACTCTTAGGATAGATTACTAGTGTCGATGTGACGCCAGTGAATGACCCCTTGATTACTGTGATATATAATTTTATTTATCGATTTATCAGTCGGTCACACTTGTTCAGCTCTCCCAAACATTCCCATAACTTTATAGGTGTTATTTGAGTCGAAATTAGTTTTTTCCTATTGGCAGTGTCTTTGTCTCACTGTCAGCTGGAGTGTTGATTGTCCCACTCTTAACTAGGGTGTTGATTGTCCCACTGTCATCTGGAGTGTTGATTGTCCCACTGTCATCTGGAGTGTTGATTGTCCCACTGTCAGCTGGAGTGTTGATTGTCCCACTGTCAGCTGGAGTGTTGATTGTCCCACTGTTAACTAGGGTGTTGACTGTCCCACTGTCATCTGGAGTGTTGATTGTCCCACTGTCATCTGGAGTGTTGATTGTCCCACTGTCAGCTGGAGTGTTGATTGCTCATGGATTACTTTTTATCAGTGCCACGTCTTGCATACATTATAACATGCCATGTCTTGCATACATACATCTCTCTCTCTTACATACAGTGCATACATACATTCATCTAATCTCTTGTGTCGAGACTGTTGCGCTTTCCTGCAAGACCTTCCAAGCTATTTGACCTATGTATCAATCTGGGTTTTACACCCAGAAAGGGAGTCGTGACAGGCCCTCTCTCACAGTCACATCAATATCCTGCGTTAGAGCGAAGCTGTGTCTGAGGTCAGTGTGCCTGCTGCCACTCACCATATTTGGCAGCTTCCTTTTCAGCTCCTGTCGTGTGCCCAGCTACTATGACTGCTTTTTCGTACTCGACAGTGAATCGATTCCTCTTGGGGTCAACACCATACCTGCTCACTGACTAGACTGGATTTTCTAGACATTGGGGGGAAGGGCCATGTTCTCCATCTTACTGACGAATCCTTATTGGCTGAGGCACACAGCTGGTGTGCCTTGATTGGTCATGCTTTATGGTACGTTCCTGAATGGTCAGGATTTTGATATACTTAATCTTGGGTATCTAAGACGTTGTAGTATATCACAGGAACCAGGAAAAATTCAGATTAACCGACACTTGGCGTCTTACTCCTGACACACTGAACATCTCATTAAAACTAATAATGTATGAGCATTGTAAATGAACATTTACGTTATCAGGTAAGATTTTCCATACGTAAAAATGAGTTTTCGGACAGTGACGTCCTAAAGCTCTCAATGTTTATTATACTGTTTGTCAAATTAATACCTCAGGTCAGTGTCGGAATTCCTTTCGCCCTTCCCTGGAAGAACAACAATTAACAGTTCCCACAAACATGGATAATATCTATCTGAACTTTTCAGCTTGCCCCCAGAGCAAGAAACACTCACCGTAATAATGCAAAACAATTCTGTAAAAGCTAACAATTAAAACTCAATACAAATACAAAAGTGAAATATTGCATATGCAATCTAAATAATCACTTTTTGAGGAGACATTTGCTTCCAAAGACATCACCAGAGCGCGAGCTCCACCAGACAAACACCCACTCGGAACTCTGCGTGATAACAATGATCCCTCAGACAATACTCCCAGAACAGAATCACTAATCATTCAGATGTGACGTTTTAGAAGATACTCTTCACCGGATGAATATCGGTGTACATTAACCAGAGGTTTAACCCCGCATCTAGCAATGTTCTCTGGACCTTGTGTCCGAACTTAAAGGGCTCGCCAAACACTGCTGGGCTGTATACGTTTCCAAGGTTATCAGATCTGTCTTATCCGGTGTGCTCTGAGAAGGGAGGAAATGGGAAGTCCATTGCTTCTGGCAACTCAACTCCTCCCGATACCTCACTACCAAGGCTGATAGAATAATAGACCAGGAAGCGGCCACCATGCTCCAACATCATAATCTCGGTTTCAGAATACATCAAGGTTGCAAAGGACCATACAACACCAACCGTTGCTGAAATCATATATCGAAAGACTCTGATTGAGCTGTAATTAAAATAATGCTTTAAATATAATCAGAAGATTGATGTTGGTATTTAGGCCTCGGACCTGGTAGTTGATTTGACTAGGTAGTTTTGTGTCGGTTTTCTTCCAGAAAGTAATTATCTAATTATTTCACATGCAGGTCTCTAACAATCGCTGTGTGCTTAGAGGCAGAGTAAATGAACGGCTTCTTTAATCACGTGTGGTCTTACTTAACGTAGAGTTTGTCCGTACAACTTACAGGTACACACTCTCAGATCAGCCCGTCCTCCTAAGGTTTGCCAACGTCAAGAAAACGGTAAATTTAAAGTGTCCTCTCCTAACCTATCGCAAGACCCTAAACAGAAATCGGGACAGTACGTCACTTTCGCCAGCCGCTTCCATTTTTAAGCACGACAATTTTTTGGCCTTATGTAACGCATACGATCGAAATGAGACGTTCTTTGTAAGCGGAGAAGTTGCTCAGATACCACACAACATGGTTGGGTTATGCTGCAGTGTACACACCCAGGGTCGCGTGTTGTCTAGGCTGTCGCAGCAATATCTTGATGCGGTTCCACTTGAATTTCACAATATTGAGCGATATTCTTATTTTGATTGATATAGTGATGTGTGTACGATGTTTAGGACGGTGTGCCAATTTGATCACTATCAACGGATATGAAGATGCACTCCTGTAATATTGCAAATTGGGTTCCACGCCTATAATACTCTTCCATATGACTGATTGTAGTTAGTGAACTATAGCTTCGGGGTTAATGATATTGACTGATGTAGTACTACAACTGTTGCTTACCACCGCTGAATGTGGTCTGGTCACCCGTTGCCAGTGATGTCCGGCAATCTCAAGCATGTGTCCTACAGACTTTCTGGCCAGGTGGCCCCTCATCCCCCTATTTATTCATACTTTATATGTGGAAATTGGTGCTCCATTGTTACAAGATCGCTACGATCAGTACTTCGTGCGGACCCTCCGATGTCCCCATTCCAGCCCGTCCTCATTGACAAAGGCCAAAGTTCATTCCATGCACCCGTCAGTCCCCCTGTTTATGAATGAAAAACGGTTTACACACGACTCAAAACTGATGACATTCGAACACTTCCGGAACAAGTGCTTCGCTGACGACTTTTGTTCGGACCACAACGCTGTAAATGCTTCACCCACGTACTACAAGTACAAATAATCGCCAACAGAACCTAAACACCTAACCTAACCAGTGCCTAAATATGTACAATATACTAATATATAAGAATATTAATTTATATTTGAGAAAATTAATATTTTGAATGAACAGTATATTAAACTGATGAATGCATCTTTAGGGTCGACCGCTGGATGGAATGAACTTGGTCTTAGGTCGGGTTGCCCCATTCACGTCTGTTGTGTTTGAACCATTGCATCTGTTCCATGCTCTACTTTGCCATAGTTTACTGCGATAATGGCGAACCTGTATGAGTCTCTTGCCAATGTTCACAATATGTCCCCACGTTTTATGCCTACATTACCTCCATGGAAAGTTCAGACTGATACATTTGTATAAACCCATCCCGTACAGTGTAGGCTTCTGCTCCCCTGCTGTCTGAAAAGCCTTTTCCTTGAAAATTGTCCAGCAACATTTGCAACCTAGTAGTAGAGAACTTGATAAACACCTCCAAAGGATACCTGATCAACCAGGCTGTGATTCATACGTCAGGCTGCGAGCAGCCGCGTCCAACAGCCTGGTTGACTAGACGACCAACCGGGAGGCCTGGTCGAGGACCGGGCCGCGGGGACATTGAGCCTCGAAACCATCGCAAGGTAACGCAAGGTAACCTGCTTTATTTTTACAGACAGGTAGAAATCTGATGATGAGTTTAGTTTCGTTATTGTGATTGGCTGTGTCTGTTTTAATGTAGGTTACTCGTGAAATTATTTGCTTCCGCTTTTAAGAGATTAAAAAAAACATTTTTATACAAATCTAGTTTACGGATGTAAGGAGGAGGGATTGTACTCATCTGAGATATAATGCGGAAGAGTGAGTAGAAATGTGAGTGACTGACGAGCATCAGCTTGCAAGGAAATACAGTTTGTAGCTGTCATCTCCAGTGTGATACACAAGTCCTCTCCTATACTTACCTTCCCTCTGGTATGCTCCTATCCTCAGTCGTTTACCTTCCCTCTGGTATGCTCCTATCCTCAGTCGTTTACCTTCCCTCTGGTATGCTCCTATCCTCAGTCATTTACCTTTTTTCAGGCATGCTACTATGATGGACTGAGTTCATCCTCCTACCATCAGCTCTACCTCCAACTACTGTACCTCCAACTACTGTACCTCCAACTACTGTACCCCCAACTACTGTACCCCCAACTACTGTATCTACACCTGCTGTACCTTCACCTGAATTCACCCTCACCTGCTCCACCTTCACCGCACTCCACACTCCAAATATCCATGGCATACCTATGTATTTTCATTTGTATTCATTATATTTTTATAAATGAATCTCCAACTTGTCTGCATTCAGGCATGAGAGAATGTGGACTTAAGAAGCATTTTATCTAAAGCCTCTAGAAACTTATGCAGAATTCACGTCTTTCCCCATTAGTAATGGGCTAGATCAAGTGCTTTGTAGACTCTCCTTACCCTCGTATATCCTAAGACTTCTATTAAGGGAAAAAGTCATCAGGCACAATGGAGGATATTTGACAAGCTGCCGGCTTCCTTCCCTCGTAGAAGCCACTAGAGAGATAATGGCCCCCTCTGGTAAATTCGGGTACTTTAGGTAACTTCAGGTAAGGTAGTACTGTAGGTGCATTGTCATTCTAACCTAAACTTGAGACACAACGCCGCCATTAAGAACTACCACTCTTGTCCCCCCCACAGTGACGAGGAAATCCGGATGGGATTGCCTCAGTCTGTGCTTGATCTCAACACAACTGTGAACTCCAATACTAATTCCATTTCCACGCCTGTCACGCCGGCCTCCGCCCACGCCCAGTACCCACCGCTACAGCCCAAGACGCTCCAGCCGTCTCCCCACACGCACTCCCTCGGCAGGAAGTTCTCCCTTCAGCAGCTGCCTCAGAGTTTCGACGACAAGAGGGTGAGTACACCCTGTCTGAGGATCTACTCTGCCTGCTGGGTCTTGATAGATGTATCCTGCGTGTGTGTGTGTATTGTAGCTGGTGAGGGTTACATGTGTCATGTAGTTGAGTATAGGTGAATGGTCATCTTTATTTGAACTGTTAGTGTCATTATCAGCATGACGTCCCTGTTTATCCGAGGTATTACTATTCCCAGTCTTGTCTTCATTACTGTTCTCGCTTGGTTATAGCCGCCGTGTTGCTGTCGTCGCCAATTGTCAATACTTTCGTTATAGTCATTTAGTTAGACCTCATCACCATGGTTACCACTACACAGCCCCATCACCATGGTTACCACTACACAGCCCCATCACCATGGTTACCATTATTCAACCCCATCACCATGGTTACCATTATTCAACCCCATCACCATGGTTACCATTATGCAACCCCATCACCATGGTTACCACTACACAGCCCCATCACCATGGTTACCATTATACAACCCCATCACCATGGTTTCCAGTACACAACCTCATCCCCATGGTTATCATTGTACAGCCCCATCCTCATGGTTACTACTATATCTCAACAAATAATGTAACTTTCTCTTAACTTCTTCTCATCGTTTAAATGATGAGGGAAGAATAACTTTTTGTGTACAACTCGCGACTACCGCCTGCAATTAACTTAAAGTAGCGCTCGCTGCTTAGGGGACAGCTTCCTTTGCTTACAGATGTAAAGCTGTTCTCTTGTGGCAGTCAGCGCTTGAATGCTCCCCTCAGGAATGTCTGGAGGCGTCCTACTTCCTAGCCATTTCGTTGGCTTTCTAATTGGTCAGTCAGACCCTCAGGGTTATAAACCCATGGAACCGCCAACCCGCCGAAGCCGTAAATGCCAACACTGTGAAATTTGAACGTCCAACTGGAAAAAGATCATCAATACAAATGGGGAGACCTTCGACATGCCGCCGGCTCCCTGTTCCCGTCGAGGCCATTTGTGTTAGTGGCCCTCAAGTAAATGAGAAGTGCGCCAATGAGGATAGACCTAGCCTTATTGGTTCGATTGGGCAACTGTAGGCACTTTGAGATTTGGCGAGCTGCCTCCAAAATACCTTCCTATACCAAGCTTCTCATTTGAGGCTCCTGGTGATAGATTGTATATTCAAGGTGGTCATTGTTCGTAAGGGTAACTTAAATCCATCTTTATAGAAGGTGTCTGGTTTCGCAACTTGCACTGTCCTTAATCCCATGTTCCCCGGAATACGACCTCGCCAAATCGTTTAACAAACTGGTACCCATTTTACTGTTGGGTTAAACAGAGGCTACAGTTAAGGATTGACACCCAGTAAATCCTCCCCGGCCAGGATACGAACCCAGGACAAAGAGCTCACGAAACGCCAGGCGAGCGTCTTACCACTTCGCCACAGGGACCGCAGGGATGATGGAACAGTTAACATTACAACCGCATCACTGTTGTCACCGCTACACAACCCCCATCACGGTCACCACTACACAATAAGCGTGGCGTGAAGCGGGTGAAGAGTAAACACAGGCGCTGCGTGCTGAGTGTGTCGTGGACAGCTTCGCGCGCCATCGGTACTGCCGCCCGTCTTCCCATATATGAACATTAAACAAAGCGGACATTCCACAAGGCAGAGTGCGAGAGTTACACCAGCGTCTACCAACTCCCGTTACATCTGAGTCATGCTGGGTTCTACATGGCTATATGCAATATCTATAAGAAAATAATGCTGCCTCAAAAGTGTAGTCCAATTATTTACGTTTACTGCACCGTTTTGTAAATAGAGAATTCTTTCCATTCCTTTCGCCAGCTCTTAGGGGTTTCCTCTTCACGTATGTCCAAGCCTACTTCTCTGTAGGTCAAATTTGTCTGACCTGTGGTTGTTTATACATCATTAGCGCCAAGACGTATGTACCAGGCCGGCATACCAAGCACTCGGCTTCTCTTTTCTCTTCTACCACTTCGAAAATACTGGAATTTCGTCTTTTGTTCTGCAGAGAATTAACACCTTTGACACTGTTTTGGGCATGAAAATGTAATTCTCAGTAAAAATCTCTTGAATAAACACTACCGTGCATGGTGCGGACCCAAAAATGAGACTGATATTAACTACGTTGCATTGTGTAAATATTATCATACCTGTATATGAGACTAGGTTACAGATGCAACTGGGAGATTGGTGAACCCAGACAGAGGGGGAATGCATCTTCTGCCAAATAATCACAGAAAAGCCACCATTTCACTATTTCCTGGATTGTGAAGCAACCAACGACCTCAGAAGAGCTTTAAGAGTCCCTGAATCTTGCAGTAACCATCCTGAAGCCATCAACACTGCCACTCTTCTGGTCATGAAAAGTGTCCAGCAGCTGGAGACCCTCATAAATACTGTGAAGCAGTATCCTCCCCGCGATAGCAGCCTGACGATTAAATGCGACCTCAGCACAAAGTATACATTTGCTAAAAAAAAAAGTCTACCACTTACGGGCTATTCATGCCCGTGCCACCTCTTGAGTGGCTTAATCTTTATCAATCAATCAAATCTGTATGAGACGAGAACTAAAATCTGCGGCAAACTTGAAGGACCAGCCCAACTCACCACTCACTCTCGCGTGATCTTTGACTTTGATGTCCAAAGAGTTTGGAAAGGATGAGGTGGGTAGAGGAATGGGGAGGTGAAATTCTGGAAGAGGATGTGGGTATAAAGAGAGAGAGGAGGTTTGAAAGTTTGGTGACCTGTCCACTATGGGGTTGGCATATATGTGTCGTCAATCTGGAAAGTTTTTAGATATTCACAAATTCCTCCCGGACAGCCCGGGAAAAAATAGGATATGTCTGGGAAAATACAAACGCATGGTAACCCTTAGCACATTTCCTTCATGTTGCAATACATTCCCACCCAACCAGTGCTTACCACATATCTTCGCATATGTTCATGTCATTAACTATCTTGAGGTTATCTTGAGGTTATCTTGAGATGATTTCGGAGCTGTTTAGTGTCCCCGCGGCCCGGTCCTCGACCAGGCCTCCACCCCCAGGAAGCAGCCTGTGACAGCTGACTAACACCCAGGTACCTATTTTACTGCTAGGTAACAGGGGCATAGGGTGAAAGAAACTCTGCCCATTGTTTCTCGCCGGCGCCTGGGATCGAACCCAGGACCACAGGATCACAAGTCCAGCGTGCTGTCCGCTCGGCCGACCGGCTCCCTATTATTATTTTAATTATCTAATTATTTTTAATTATTTAATTATTTATCCCTATTATTATTATTATCTATTTAATTATTATTTTCGGAACTTGGAAAAGAGCGCCCAGATCCTTCATGCAACAGTCCGGGAATCTTTAGGAACATATCCTTAACAACTTTGGTATCAAAGGTCACATTCTTCGGTCCAGCATTTGGTAATTTTGTCTTAAACCTTTAGGGGTCGTACCCGTTTTTTAGTTAGTACAATAATTTAAACAATATTGACTTAATTTGTGATCCTAATCGGTGAAGACCGTTCGGTACTCTTGTTGTTAGTCTTTCCATCAGGGTTTTACGTGGTACATGCATGTGGTACAAGTCCCATGCATGTGGTACAAGTCCCATGCATGTGGTACAAGTCCCAAGTATGTGGTACAAGTCCCATGCATGTGGTACAAGTCCCATGCATGTGGTACAAGGCCATGCATGTGGTACAAGGCCATGCATGTGGTACAAGTCCCAAGTATGTGGTACAAGTCCCATGCATGTGGTACAAGTCCCATGCATGTGGTACAAGTCCCATGCATGTGGTACAAGGCCCATGCATGTGGTACAAGGCCATGCATGTGGTACAAGTCCCATGCATATGGTACAAGGCCCATGCATGTGGTACAAGTCCCATGCATGTGGTACAAGTCCCATGCATGTGGTACAAGTCCCATGCATGTGGTACAAGTCCCATGCATGTGGTACAAAGTCATACATGGAGTACACGGGCCCATGTTGAATTATCCAGATCTTACTTATACACTGCCCGAATTAAATATAAATATAGTCTGGGAAGCTGCAATACACCTAATGTGAGAGTCACAATGGTAAACTTATGGTAAACCAACCAATGGTTTCTTATGGTAAACCTTCATCATACCTTCATCAGTGAGCACTGACTGTAGGTAGTCAGCATTCATTTAGCGTTATAAACGTTGTCGGGGACAGGTAGCCTGAACTTAGGGTCATCGAGTCCCTCCCCTCCTCCTAGGCCAAGTACTGACCTTCCCCAGGATGACCTTATTAATAGCCTGTATCAGAACTAATTATAAAATGAGGCCGCAATAAAACATATTAGTTCATGTGTTGTCTCCGTCTGTCTTTATCGTTGGCGTTTATGTTATAACTTGTTGAAGAATTTAGCAGTGATATATATATATATACAACTTTAGAACACTTTCCCACCAGGAGACTCGAACCCTAGCCAGCACAGAAGCCTTCCAGCAACTGGCATAACAGGTGCGTACCTGTTATGCCAGTTGCTGGAAGGCTTCTGTGCTGGCTAGGGTTCGAGTCTCCTGGTGGGAAAGTGTTCTAAAGTTGTATACTTGACTCTCGTGTTTAGGAGAGTTGTGGCATATATATATATATATATATATATATATATATATATATATATATATATATATATATATATATATATATATATATATATATATATATATCATTGAAAACAGGCGAGGTGTGTCTTGAGCACCCGGAGGAGGATCTGTTGGTGATAGGAAGGGAATATATAATATATTTAATTGTTCTCTTGAAAATGGCGTCAGGGGATGTTTTTTTAAGTAAAAGTTACTGAGTGAAATATAATTGGACTAAAGTTTGACCATTACGCAGCTTTTGAAAGAATAATTGTGAAAAACTTTGGAAAGAAGTTCATGACAGACATTAATGTCAAGCAAGACCAAACGGACACGAAGATATTTTGCTAATGAAGTCACTAGGAGAACATGTTGAGCAGACGTGGGGTGTTGCACTGACCT